ACTGATTTACTATGACACAAATAAGACACAGATGTTAATAAACAAAATAACTTAAGTTTAACTACTGTTAATGCACAGAGCAGCCATCTTGGATTTTGAGACCAGGGTTTGTGAGGTTCCTTCGTCTTTCTGAGACAGAAATTCGACTTCAGTTGAAATTCCAAACCAGGAACTCAAAAATTATGACTTCCCGACTTATGACTTCAGAAATTATGACTTTCCCGACTTGGAGGTCATGTGGTGTTGTAATCTATCTTTAGCCGTTTGACTCTTCCGTTCCAATGTAATAACAGTTTCCCTAATTAAATAAATATAGGACCTTGCTTAAAATATCGCAATATATTGAGTCATTACCCCAGTATCATGATACATATTGTATAACCATATTCTTGCCAATACACAGCCCTAAATAAGAGACAAGGCCAGCTGAAGGAAAGTGGGTACAACAAAAAAAATACTTTCAACACAGCAGGTTTTATAACAGTATCAGAGGAACCTGAGGCTGGATTGTTCATTTAACAAAGTGTGCACTTGTTACATAAATGTGTGATGCTTCAATGTAGATGCAGCTGTGTTAGAAAATGATAAAGTGTCTGTGTGACCAAGAGTGGTGTTGAGCTAACAGGACTAATAACTGCTGGTCGAGAACCCTCTTCTGCAGTATCTCTGATTTATTGCGAGTCATTCTGCCAATTATGCATTGTTTCTGTGAAATCCCACACCTGCCAAGTTTATTATAGTCTCAATATCAAATGCTGCTAATGTAGAGAAATATATGTGTGAAGAACAGAACAGTCCTGCCGAGGGAACATGCAGACCTGCTAACTCCTCACTGCTGTGTTTGCCAGTTGATGAGTGCTTTTTGTTCGGGATGGATTATATTTCGTTGCTACGTTGACCTTAGCTGAATGTCAGCGGGCATCTCCTGTCCAATACTGACTGTGCACATGCTGACCCTGCAGCAGTACACACCAGATCAATACATCCTCTGCTCGTGTTGTGACTCTACATGGTGTGTGTGTGGGTGGGTGCACAAGGGAGATGTTGTATTTCTATAAAAGGTAATAAATGTCCTCAGAAGGACAGGGCAAAGAGGCACATCCTCCAAACTGAGGACATGATGGCGTAGGTTATAGTTTAGTTCAGGACACTTAGTCATCAAAAGGCCCTCAAACAATATGTACATGTGTGTGTGTGTGTGTGTGTGTGTGTGTGTGTGTGTGTGTGTGTGTGTGTGTCCGTAATCACGTCGCCTGCTGATAGCAAAGCTGATTCATCAGATCTGATTGGTCCACTGAGCAGGTGAAGCATTCAAATGTGCATTCAGTCTCCGCAGTGTGCATCATCAGAAGAAAAGTCCACTCTTGTGACATAAAAATATCCGTTCATAAAGTTAGGGAGGTTGTGAAATATTTAACCTGTGACGCGGGCTGCATAATCAGAGGAAAAGCTACGCTGCTGCTGCACCTTTTAATGTGACACAAAAGGTATAAAGGTGTGTCTTTTATTTTCTGACCCGGCCTTAATCTCATTTATTTCTGATAAGAAGGCCGCAACACACAAACCAGCAGATAACTGCACAATGATTCAATTCCTTCCTGTAATAAGACAATAAATGCTTTTGTATGATGCTGCATAGTACAACCCAAAGGTTACCATCTAAGTTTTACAGGGGATAGCGTACATTTGTAAAGAAATATTGTTGAGTTTGATGGTACAATGCAAAACGCATAACCATAAATAAGCCGAGACTGACCACTGCGTACAACGTGTACAGTTCAATAAGCATTAAAACACTTTTCTTCTGAGCAATCCTTTAACTGTTAGCTTGCCTCGCTAAGTGACATGAGACAGGAAGTAGTAGGCCGATGATAAGCGATTCTGTAAAATGCATTCATATTTAGATATGAATACACTAACTGAGGCTGCAGCTGTTGGATGTTTTAGGTCAGCCCAGTTTGGATATAAGTCAGCCAACAAGAATCAAGAGATAAAAGTTATATATATATATATATATATATATATATTAGCATCAGCGCTAATTAAAATTAATTTCTACTGTAGATACTAGGATTTCCTAAAATTTCATTTGCATTACAGTTACTAGCTCTGGCAGACACTGAGAGGGCATCAGAGAGTGTTACACAGCACTTGTTTTACGGCGTACTGACACACCACCATTTTATCCTGTTAAAACAATATTCACAACTTGAATTAATTTTTATGAAAAACCCTTTTGATTCTTTTGATCTGACGACTCTTACAGACTAAAGGATTGTGAATAACTTACCATGTAATCGAAATGATCACATAATTTGAGGAAGCCAACAACATGTTTTTAAAAAATAAATAAATAAATAAAATGAACTGCTTGGCAACCAGACTGGGCGTCACATTGAGACAGGCATTCATTTGTCAAAATGTATAGCCTCACCAGGCTTGTAGAAGGGACTAGGCTTTTAATTAAAGTTTTACTGGGACACCATATACCATGATATTTTCTGGGACGATTACGTTATTGTGAGGATCTCATACCCTTGCAACCCTGATAGTAAATTTAAATGTGTGCATGTTCGATTAAGATAAAATAATTTTAAAAAAAAAGCTTCAAGAACTGCAACCAACAAGGATCAATAATATACATTTCCCATTACTATTTTATGTCTGTTACACAATTAATATTTTGTTCCCATTTTCCTGAAGTCTGTGCAACTAAAATTCAAATAATACGCCTAAGTTTTGTCAGCATAATGTCATTATTATAGAGTTTTAATGGTCACAAACCTGTTTGATAGATCTATGGGAATATTTAGTTTGTTTCTTTCTCTCAACAAAATTCTCTGAGATGTATAAAAACCAATGTTCCAAATGATCTTTGATTATAGGACAGCGGAAGTAATGAGACTGACAGCATAGAAGTGTTTTCTTGTTCTTCATCATTCACATAAATGTGTGTGTAACTATGCGTCCATGTTTGGGTACACACACATTCACGGGTGCAAGCATGTAAGACTAGGCATGTGGGTATCATGTGTGTTGATATGTGTGTACCTAGTTGTTAAATAATGTATCCTCTAACTTTAATTTAAATTTATGGGTTTATTTAACTACATCCTTTGAAATAATGTACACGTAATTTGCTTCTTTTTTGTTAGTTTCTCAATTTATTATTGTATCATTGTCGCTTATTTCCTGATATCGCTGACTTGTCTGTCTCTACATATACTAAATAATCCTCAAAAAGGCAAACAATAATTTAAAAAGTATTATCAGTAAGACAAAAAGCTTTTGTTGTGTTACCGGAAGTCAATCAACAGTCACGTTGTGGGCGTGGCCCAATTTGCACACCACCCCACGACAAATGAGCCGGGCATTATCAGCATAAACAAATTTATGATTTTAACATCAATGCAACTGTTTATTTAGAAATAAACGACTGAGAACAACACCACCGAGTTGCAGGTACTGTCATGGAGGCACACAGAGGACGCTGACACAGTTTGAGACACTACAAGAGTGAATCCAGGTTGGTTTTCCTCCATGGCTGCAGCTTTCATTACATTCAGCTGGAGCTATATGTTTCAGCCCCCACTTCTCCTGTCCCTGTCTGTCGCTGGGACAGACACACTCTGTCTCTGAGTGTCTGTACGCTGGCTTCACACAGCACAGTGCGACCAACAGGCATGAATGGGGACGCGCTGAAGGTTAGAGGGCTTTTATGAATGAGCCGGCGTCACGCCACAGCAGCGCAAACATCCCCTACGGTGCCCTTCGCCCTTCCACCCCCGCCGACAGAGGTCTGCAAGGCAGGCATTCCTACCGAGCACAGCCCCGTGTAGCCTGACAGAGACAGGAGTTGTCGATATCAGCTAATGGAGTTGTTTTTAAAAATAAAAAAGGCAAACTGGGTGCCAATAATTTAAATGGCTCTGGCACGGCTTCTCAGATGTCTGCACATTTTCATTTGAGCCTTAAGGAGCTTTTGGCAACCTCTGAACACCTACATTGAAAAACACTGTCATGTATTTAAACCTGTTTTCACAATAACACTCAAAATAAAGGCTATAAGCGCTCCTGACACCTGCCAGGATTAAATTTGGGCTAATTCACACTGAGCTTTATTCTCGGTAAAGCTAATTTTAAGCTCCAAGCGCTTCCATATAGGCCTATGGGTGCCGTTTAAACAGGTCTGTGGGCCTGCACATTGTACGGCTCTATATTAGCTTCATTTCGCAACAACACGACCCATGAGTCCGTGTGTGTGTCACACGAGAGCACACAAGGCTCGATCCAAAGGGAGACAGACGCGTATTTTTTCAGGGCAAGTCGTCGTTTACAATCGGTATTTTTTATGAATGGAGCGCGGTAGGCTATGCAAATGAGGGCGATTGAGAAAGAGATGGCGGATGAGGCATATCGGATATCTCATATCCTGTGAGACTTCCCCCTTCGGTTGGGAGCAAACACACAGATGTGGCCAAATAACGAGGCGAAATTGCCTCTGTAAACGTCGTCGGGTTTTTTTCTGTTTTTTCTACCAGATCGACGCACAAACAAGAGGTGCGTGAGCTCGCTGCTGTTTGTGTGTTTATAAAAGGTGTAACTTCGGGGCGTGTTTGAGTTTCTAAGTTACGCTGCAACAGGGCCTGCTCTCTCGCTTCAGATCCTTTCAGAAAATGTTTCCGATCCACCCACGCTTATTCCCCTCCTCCTCCTACTCCTCTTCTTTCTCTCTTGCCTTCTCGAGACTAGTCTGCACCAAGGTGGGGGCCCTAAAAACCCCTCTTCCACAGCACTGTCAATGCATTACTTCACAGCAGCATCAAGCACCAAATCCCATCGAGGGAACAGTGTAAAATAAATGCAAAACACACATGAAAAGCAGCTTTGTAGAGAGGAGTTACAGGCTGCACATTCCACCAAGTTGCCCGAATCATCTCCAACTTGTAGGCACTGGGAGAAGCGAGAAAAGAGAGACGGACAGAGAGCTCAATACTTACTCGTTTGGGTGTGTTTCTTCTATCATTTTCTCGTTTCACCTCAGGTAATGTACCACGGCGGTTGCATACTTTTCGCTCGTCATTCTTTCACCGCGGCTCCTCCGATTCTGTCTCCAATTCCGCATAAATCCCCCCTGCGCCTTTGTGCGAGTGTCGGCTCTTTGGCTTGCCTTCGACTGGCTGTGCCTCCGTCTTCTTTTCCTCACTTTCCCCCTCTTTCCTCCCCCGAAGCCGCACAGTTTCTTCTGGATCGCAAATGCCCCCTTTCCTAGAACTTTAACACCCCATCGCCTTCAGTAGGTTGCGTAGCCCGCACAGACAATTTAGTAGCCGAATCCAGCTCTTCTCTTCGCCCCCCCCCACCACCACCACCACCACCACCTCACTCCCCAAACACACACACGCACGCACGCACACACACGAGCACACAAGGCACACACTCCGTTTTTAAGTCCTAAGGCGCATGTTTTCACCGACGACTCCGGTTCCACTTGTGCGTAAAAAGCGCGTCGTCGCTGTTGTTACCGAGGGGTGGCCCCGCTAGAGCCCCATCTCTCTCTACTCCATGTTGGATTGCAGGCAGCCGAGCAGCTCCAACGACGCCGGGGGAGGGAGGAGGGAGAGCCAGAGAGGGGGAGGAGGAGGAGGGGGGGGAGGGGAGGGGGGTGCTGGGCGGAAGCGGTGACGTCGGTCTACATTTTGGTAGAGCGCCCACGGTGGCTGGCTGCAAGCCGTAGGGGCCCTTGATAAATGACCCCCTCCTCCTTTCCCCTATCTGGATCCTTGATTTCAAATCCGGACATGTCACCTTTGTTCTCTTATAGGTTCCTATTGGAATATAGATACTCCAAAGGAAATCCGTGCTACTTTGAGTTGGTTATTTTAACAATTTTGCTCATAATCTAGCACAGTTTGAATAATCGATTTTATTAAATAACAGTCTTTAATCTTCATAAACCCCATGATGCACGTATGATGAAACAAAAAAAGATTAAAGGGATTTTCTGGTTAATCTTGTTAACTTTTTTACCACCATATGTCTCAGGTAATCCACAGCAGCTGTGCGTAATCTGTTATTGCCTTTGTGTCGCGAACTAGTCTCCGGATCAATCTGTTTAACACCTATTGATCTCCTAAAGTGTGAGGAAGTTAGATGATTAGCCACTTTTGTTTTCGGTAGAGTGCTGCCAGATTTGTATTCCTGCACCACACAGTTGCCAGCATTGTTTTCAGGTTCATGCCTGGGCGAAAACTCAACACAGCCAAGTTTGAAACTGTGGTCGTGTGGCGCCATCAGGTGGAGATTTGTACACACTACAAGCCTGGGATAAAAGTTTAAACCAAATGATTCAACTATTTCAACTCCTGTTTTTTCTTTATTAGAAATCTGCCCATTGAGTCATAACAACTTCTGTCATACAATGACATGTCAAATCAATGTACCAAAATTAACTTCATTGTGTGAGTTGTGATAATGGCTACACGTTTTGTGTTTTTTTTTTAGGTGCAGCATTGTTTGATTAGGGATTGAACTACAAAAAGATAACAGGGGGGAGCTCACATTGTGATCAGGGTCTCTTAATCAAAGCAGCGACTGAGTGGACCATTGGATCAATTGAAAACAGCAATTCTTTTATCACAACTGGAGTGTTAGTTTGAATCCTTGACACTTCATTACATGGCCACATATTTGCTTTGGGTATTCATGTCAGTAAATCAGTTTCACAGAACAATTTCCACCAAAAATAAATAAATAAATAAATAAATAATTACATTCAACTGAATTGAATTAAACGAAATTAGAGTGCTTTTAAGATAAATACATACAATAAAAAACAAAACAAAATACAAACAACAGAGATAATGAAAACATAAAAACAACAGGAGACAAAATAAAATGACATAAAAAAAAACCGAAATAAGATCAAATAAAATAGCATAACACAAAATTAAATTAAATTATTAATTAATTATTATTATAAAATGGGCTGCATCATTTACACTAACTGCTGCTTTACTGTATTAATTACAATAAAATTCTGCCTTTTGTTAATTTAAAATCTCCACAGCAGATTAATTGATTCTTAGAAATAGAAACTGGACCCATTAATGTCTTTCCCCCTCTGTTTTCACTGTTTGTTTGTTTGTTTGTTTGTTTGTTTTTAATGAACATATTTTAGTAGCATTTTAGGAACTGTCTCAAAACCATTTAATGGCAAGAGTTAGTCAAACAATGAACTGGCACCCACCTCATCTGAGGTTGCAGAATGACAATAAGGACAGCAACACATATCAGTTAATAATAAGAATAATGACTGAGCTACATTAATGTGAAACAGAGGGGAGGAAAAAAGGGTGACAAATACATTTAGAACAAAAAACAAATACACAATGATACATTAAAATAAATTAAAATAAAATAAATATAAATTAAATTAAAATAAAATAAAGATAGAATTAAATTAAATTAAATTAAATAATATATAATAGAGGGCACACTGTGTCAGCTCTGTCCTGGTGAAGACAAAGCAACATTTCCTGCTACAATGCAGCACATATGACGACATCACAACAAAGTAAATTAAATGTTAACTCCAAGATTTTGATTCACTCTCTGACCAGACTAAAATGCACCATCTACTTTGAGAAAATAGTGTCAGCACCATAGATGCAGCAAAGTATGTCAGTGCATGTCACGGCCTAAGAGACAACCAACACAACAACATGTAGTTCATCTCATCACAGATCACGCTCTACCTTTTTATTTACTCCTTCAGTTAATAATTTCCCTTTAAAATTTATGTCTAAGTATTAGTTATATACATTGTTGTTAACTGTTTTTGAATTTTCACTGTCTTAAATTGTAATGGTGCTTTGGCAACACATAAGACATGTCATGCCAATACAGCTTATTGAATTAAAATAATTAAGAGAGGGGGAAGTGTACATGTGTGGGTAACCGCAGTGCCTAATAAGCCATTTGGAGATTTTCAGTGTTTTATTCTATATTCAATAATCATCTCCACTGTTGTTTTTTCTTGCATGTTCACATATGTTTGTTGTTTGAAGTTTACTGAAGAGAATGCCTGACCATATCTAAGGATCTGGATGTGGAGTACAACCTTGACGCAGGTGATAATGGCCAAACTTGTTTTACATAACATTCACAAAACTGCAGCTGTATTCAGGTTGACTCAGTGAGTAAAACTTTTACATTATCAACTTTATTAGATGTACATTTTATAGTAATTTGAGAAATGATTGCATCACCTTTAATGGCCATTTGGTGTGTAGGCTGCCACCATGTGGTTTAAATGTAAAAATTCAGACTATGGTCAGTCTTAGCTGATTTAAAGGAAACTATTTTCTCTTGCTGCCAACCTATATTGTTGTAGATGCTACAAAACCGATTCATATTAATATGCACGTACACCATCAGTTGTATTGGAATGTTGCAATAGTAAAACCAGACATTTCTGTGATGAAAAGTCTCTCTACGCCCCATATGGTGTGAACCTTCAGCTGTACTGTCAATTGAATATTATTCTGACAGTTTATAAACTCATGTATTAAGGTATTTAGAAAAGGCACATTAGTTTTCAGCATTTCAAAACATCCAGATGCTCCTTGTTGGGTAGCTAAACCTATTTTTCACCTGCACTTGCGTTTGGCATTTAGTATATGAACTTAAAAAAATGTAGTAAATGTTATTTAATTATCAAAAAGTACTTACTTGAACAGCATTTTCTGTTTGAGAGCTGACCTCATCACCATGAAAGCTACAAGTAGGTGGCAATCTTTACTACGTCTGGTTTCTGTCAGTGTGCATGTTGTTTTTGTATCCTTATGCTGTCCTAATATTTGCTCTATATTCTGTATGTACATCATGCAACAGATATTTCCCCTCAGGGTATTGACGGGTCATTCATCCAGAGCTCCCCTGTGTATATAAACAGTTAATGAGTCCACACACACAGAGTCGGCCTCCCATTCATCATCAGTGGAGTAAACACAGCAAATTCAGTCTAATTTTTCTGTTTCCCAGCTCTGAGAGACAGATTCACAATATACTAATTTCACAGGAATATATGATTGTTGTGGCATTTAACTTTTCAAGAAAGGCTACCAAGTCAGAGAGGTCAAATTAATTATATAATAAACAATAATAATAAATATTAAAATAAATATTAAAGTCCCCCTCACTCCGAAATGTGCATTTCTACAGTTAGTTCATTTGGATGTTTGACCTTGACTATGCAGAGCAATGTATGTGCAGGGTGACCTCTTTATTCCGGATAGCCTTTTATACACACTATTCCCTCCCACAGGGTGAAGAATTAGAGGAAATAAATAACAACTAACAGGATGAAGAATACAGTATTACAGTAAGAATCTGATGACAATAAAATGCTCATTCAGGGGCTTAGATGAGTAATACTTTGATGAAATATGGATATCATATTTAACATTTCAATATCAAGAAGAGACTCTGACAAACCTTTGTAGTCTTTGGACATGAATAATAAATTCACTCTGAATCTGAATCTGAATCTAAGTCAGCGTGAACTGAGAACTCCTAACTAAATAACATATTTTATGGTTTTTCCATATTATATTCAGTTGATAACAATAACAGTACAGAATAGCTGATAAACTGTACAATTAAACCAAATCCCTAACTGTAAGAAGTTTGTGTAAAATGAGTGATTATGAGGAATTTTGAGTAGATTATTACCTGTGAATATTGCATCAGAGATGACCTTTCCTGACATCACTTTTCTTTAAAAATAGATTTAGAAAATATTAAAAAATTTGGGATGTTATTATTATTATTATATTTTAGAATTATGTTACAGAGTTATTATGATTTTACTCTTTCCAGGTCATTTCCTATTTGTTTGTTTAGAACTTTCTTTTTTCTTTTCTTTCCTTTTTTTTTTTTTATGATTTTACTCTTTCCAGGTCATTTCCTATTTGTTTGTTTAGAACTTTCTTTTTTCTTTTCTTTCCTTTTTTTTTTTTGGACTAATTTTCTTTTTTTTTTTTTTTTTTTTTTCTTTTTG